GGCTTTAGGGCTTCGAGGTTTAGGGTTTAGGGCTTTAGGGCTTAGAGGTGAACCCGAAACCCTGAACCCTAAACCCTAAACCCTGAACCCTAAACCCTAAACCCTGAACCCTAAACCCTGAACCCCAAACTACCCAAAAGGCTTCTGAAGCCGCGCCCAAGCGGCAAGGAACTCGAAGAGGCTCAGCAGGTCATGGTACTCCAGCCTCGGCTTAGGGTTTAGGGTTTAGGGTTTAGGGTTTAGGGTTTAGGGTTTAGGGTTTAGGGTTTAGGGTTTAGGGTTTAGGGTTTAGGTGTTTTGTTTTTTTAAGGTGTAGGGCTTAAGGTTTATAGGGTTTAGGGTTTAAGGTTTATAGGGTTTAGTTTTTGTTTTTAAGGTGTAGGGTTTAAGGTTTATAGGGTTCAGGGTTTAGGGTATATCGGGTTTAGGGTTTGGGGTTTGGGGTTCAGAGGTTAGAGGGTTTAAAGCAGTTTAGCGTTTGGGGGTAAAAGGGTACGATAATAAGGGTTCTGCTTGGGTAGTTCTTTAAGTGGGGTCCCTTTTGGGGTCCTTTTAGAAGGGTGCCGTACTATTTGGGGAGGCCTTAGAAGGGCCCCGAATTCAGAGAACTACACATGCATCATACAGTATGTATACATGCGGGACCCTATTCGGACACCCCCCCCCAAGGACCGGTGCGAGCATATTATATATATATATATATACAGATATCCATCCATACTATATCAGTGTATAGTTGTATAGGGTTCCTTCAAGGGTTTCGGGTGTGGGGTCTATAGGGTTTTGAATTTAGGGTTTAAGGTAGCTAAGTCTTATGACAGCTTTTAGAGTCGTCTTCGGGGGCGGGGGCTCCTTCAAGGGTTCCTGCCATAGCTTGCGAAAGGGTTTAGGGTTTAGGGCTTTGGGTTCAGGGCTTGGGGCTTAAGGTTTCGGGCTTAGGGTTTAGGTCTTAGGGTTTAGGAGTTTAGGATTTAGGGTTTAGGGCCCCTTTACTTTTGGGTCTATCTCAGGGGATCTACAAAGGCAGTATGGCTTTAGAGCAAACCTTCGGGTGTGAGGTTTTGCGTTGAGAGCTTATGGTAGAGGGATCTTCGGATGGGGTTTAGATTTCAATTTGTTCGCCTCAAGGGCGGTGTCTAGGCTTTAGGGTTTGTTGGCGGCCTTACTTCACGAGCGAGCTGAGTGTTTGCCATGGGTTGCCAGGATTTAAGATGGTTTAGGATAGAGTATTGTAGTCCTCTGGTTGGTGACACCCGTGTCTAGGGCCATTAACATCAGGATCTGTACTGTTGATGATATAAGTCCTGCATGACCTTAAGGACCCTAAACTATAGGAATTATGGTCTGTTCCTTATTATGGGTACTGCAGGATTTATATCATCAACCGTAGTTCAGCATTGATGAAGTGAAAAACCCTAAACGTAAACCCTAAGCCCCAAGCCCCAAACCCTAAACCCGAAAGTGGCTCAGGTGCACGGAATTCTGCAAATTCAGCTCTGCGTTTTTTAAGGTCTCGGGCTCTGGCCTGCTTCATACCCCTGAACCCCAAAATTTAAACCTTATAAACCCTACACAAGGTTTAGGGCTTAGGGTTGAGGGAACCCAAAATCTAAACCTTATAAGCCCTATATCTCACACTCTACACCCTAAACTCCCCATTCAATGAAGAGTTTATAACCCCGTAGAATGCTGAAGTTTGAAGACCGGTCTTTCGTTTGGGTTTAGGTTTCAGGATTTACGCTTTACTTTTGGGCCCAAGGGGCTTAGCAAGTAATGCCAAAAAAGCATTAGGCTGGCCTCACTCAGGGACTTGCTCCCCAAATTATAACCTTGCTTAAAAAAGTCCCCTGAACCCTTAAGCCTTAAGTAGGGCTTATTCATTCAGCATTCAGGCATTGGGGTTTGGGTCCTAGTGGTCCTGGCTTCTTTAGCCTAGGGACTAGGGGTCCAGGCTTGGGAGGGTTTAGGATGCAGGGTTTTGGATACGGGTATAGGAAAAATCTAAACAAAGCCTAAACCCTAAACCCTAAACCTTGTAACTTCGTACCCTGCCTGCACCTACCCTTGGGCCATATGATCATGAAATCACAGGAAAGGAATCCTAAGAAGGCATATCTAAACGCTAGGAGTCAGGATTAGGGGGACCCTTGGGGATATAGACCCTCTCAATAAGGTCCCTCTGCAGAGAGCCAGAAATAGGGTTCAGAAGGGTCCCCTTAAACCCTAAACCCTAAACCCTAAACCCTAATACTACCTAAGAAACGCCAGCTCTAAACCCTGCAGTCGGCATGAGAAAAAATTGAGCAGTCCACCGATCCACAGCAGCTGAGCAGTGTAGCGAGGATACAATTTAGGGGGTTTAGGGTGTTTAGGGGGTTTAGGGTGTTTAGGGGGTTTAGGGTGTTAGGGGGCTTAGGGGGTTTAGGGTTTAGGGTTTAGGGCTTAGGGCTTACGGCTTAGGGTTTAGGGTTTAGGGTCTAGGGTTTAGAGCTTAGGGTTTAGGGTTCAGGGTTTAGGGTTTGGGGTTCGAACCATTGCTTGGAGGGTCGGCTGCTAAGATGACGAATGGGAAGAAAGCGGAGTTGAAGCTTTAATGTGGGGGCCTGAATTTAGGGGCTTCGGGGTATATTCTACCATAAGGAACGTGATGCCAACCCCTAAAGACTTGTTTGGAGGGGCTGCTAGCCAGGATCGATACGAACCATGGTGCCCTAAATTGGTACCCATATACCCTAAACTTAAATCCTAAACCACGACGTCACGAAACTCGCGAAATGTAACCCTAAACCCGTAAGCCCTGAACCCTGAGACCTATATCGTAAAACGCTGCAGCCCCAAACCCTCAATCTCCAAAGCCCTGCCCCTCAAAGGCTCGACACGCTGAAATAGGGTTTAGAATGTGGGGTTTAGGGTTCCTTGTTTCCGACAAACCCCCCAACCCTAGAAACAACCCTAAGCCCAAAAGCCCTGAACCCCCTTTCTAGAACCGTGCAGACCCTCTGCAAACCCCAAGGAAAACACGGTAGCGCCTCTAGACAATCTTAGCCAAGACTTGAAGTTCTAAATAGATCTAATATAGGATTTAGGGTTTGGGATTTTAGGGTTTAGGCTTAGGAAGGGTTTTGGTTTAGGGTGTAGGGTTTGGGCTACAGAACCTAAAGGAAAAAGATTCCATAAGTGCCTTACTAATATCACCATGCAGTAAATACAAAGAAGACGAGCTTAGAAGCCCTACTGCAAGCCCTAAACCCCTAAACCCTAAACCCTTCCAATTCTGGATGCTGTATGCCCTAAACCCTGAACCCTCAACCTTAAACCCTAGACTCAAAACTCAAGAATAGTTACCTAAACTCCCTAAACCCTAAACTCCCTAAACCCCAAACCCTAAACTCCCTAAGCCCTAAACCCTCAATTCTCGACCCTAAATCCTAAACCCCTATAGATCCCTTTAAGGACCCCTAAAAAGGAACCCTAAAAGGGACCCAAACCCTTAACAGGGCCAAAGCAACTCGAGCTGGCTCATCCAGAACTTGAGCTTCGGGGAGGTGACCAGTTTTGAGAACTCCTCGCTAGCGGGAGGGGGCCTTTAAGGAGCCCTTTAAGGATCCTAGGGTTTAGGATTTGGGGTTTAGGGTTTAGGGTTTAGGGTTTAGGGTTTAGGGTTCAGGGTTTAGGGTTTAGGGTTTAGGGCTTAGGGTATTTAGGGTTTAGGGTTTGGGGTATTTAGGGTTTAATGTATTTACGAGCATCAACCCATTTGGCACCATAAGCATCAGCAGTGGCCAGGCAGCGTTGTCGGAGACCTGACCGTGCGAGTCCAGTAAAGAGACACATCAGAGCTTTCAAGTTCAGCGCAAACTTCCGCCATAACTTCACTGCCAGAAGCTTGCTTGTTGACGCAGTCTTTCAAGAGCGCAAGCAGTCTCTTTGCCAACTTTTGATCTGAGGCCGTCACATCAGGCAGGCGGTAGTACGATAAACCCTAAACCCTAAACCCTAAACCCTAAACCCTAAACCCTAAGCACTCTTGTCCGGAGAGTACTTGCCTAAGACCGAGGCCAGGTCCTCGGCTAGGCCCTTGTTTCAAAACTCATCGCAGACATGTCTAAGCCAATGACCGCAGTTCTGTGCTTGCTCACAGCTGTGTGTCTCACCATTCTCTTGGGATATCGGGGTCTAGGGTTTAGGGTATTTGGGGCTTCCATACGGGCTGCTATCATAAGTATCGTGTGGTAGAGGGGCCTTCATGGCCACAAGTGCTAGTTTAACAGGGTTCCTTTAAGGGCTGTTTTAACAGTAGCATCTACGCCAGACCTTCTAGAAGGGTGCGATGCAAGATTTGGGGGAGGGGTATGCATTATGGTAGAACTGTCGTATAGGCACCCTTAACTTAAACCCTAAATCTTAAGCCCGTAATGATAATGGGTTTCGGAACTTCCTTTGGGGTTTGGAGTTTTTCTAAACTTTTGCAGAAACAGAAAATCTCGGGCCTTTGAGCATTATGCCTCTAGGGTTTCAGATATAACGTCTGGCGTTTAGGATCAGGTCATTATGACTTCTCTAGGGTTTAGGGGTTTAGGATCTACGGCTTCAGATCCCTAAACCCTGAACCCTACTGTTGATGATATAAACCCTGCATTACCACAAGGACCCTAAACCATGGGAATTATGGTATTTTCCTTATGATGGGTAATGCAGGATTTGTATCATCAACCGTAGTCTAAGCCCCCTAAACCCTAGGCCACCGCAGGCCCAAACTCTACACCCTAAACCCTATACCCTAGACCCTAAACCCTGAACCCTAGACCCTAAACTCTAAACCCCAGACCCTAAACCCTTAACCCCAGAGGGCCGCATGACCAAGCTCGGTCGGGACTCGTTCCGCAGTAGTTGATGTATGACTAGGTGTAGCCGGACCTTTAGGGTTCAGGCTAATGACTTTTGGGTTTAGGGCTTTGGGTCTAGGGTTTTGGGGTGCATTATACTACAATTCTAACAAAGAACCCCCGAGTAGTATAGGTAATTATATTAAGGCCCCTATTTACTATGCGCAGTCGGAACGACTTGTATGGTCCTGCGACGAAAAGCGGGATTACGTATAGGCCGCTAATTTGAATCATGGCTCTTAGTATACTATACCTTGAGGTCTGAGGGGAGGCCCAACATAAACCTGGCAGTAGGATCCTTCAAGTATCCTTAGATGCCACGATCTGGCGCCCCGACGAGTTTCAAAGCCACATCCCCAGACCCTAAACCCTGTCCTCAAAGTTGATAGCGCCGTCACCGGAGTCGTCCATGTGTGCAAATAGCTTCGCGACCTTGCGGGCATACCTGGGCATCCGATCACTGGGCCATGATTTATGGTTTGGGGCTTTAGGGTTTAGGGCTTAGGGTTTAGGATTTAGGGTTTAGGGTTTAGGGTTTAGAGTTTAAGGGTTTAGGGCTTAGGACGTTTTGTAGTTGACCCTTTAAACCCGAAGCCATGAACAATCATAAGGTCTAACGTGGGGTAGGGCTTTCCCTCTTTCTCGATCCTACCCTAAACCCTAAACCCTAAACCCTAAACCCTAAACCCTAAACCCTAAACCCTAAACCCTAAACCCTAAACCGTGTTTGGGCCTAGGGTAGTTCTCTGAATTAGGCTCCCGCCTTAAGTACCCAATATAGTACGGCACCCTTATAAGAAGGGACCCTAAAAGGGACCTTGCTTCAGGTTCAGGGATGAGGATGTAGGGCTTTAGGGGTTCAGGGGTCTAGGGTTCAGGGATTCGGGGTGTAGGGATTTTTGCTTGGGGGTTTAGGGCTTCTCTTCGGAGGGTGGAGGCTTACGGAATAAGTAGTTGTTTGAAGGGTTTGAGGCGGGATAATCCCAAGCAGGGTCCCCGCTAAGGCAACGAAAACTGCGTCGATTACTGCTTGCTAAGTCCCGACGACCCTGTAGGAAGGAGAGTTGTAAGGCTTTACAAGGATTGTTGAGATACTGTTGATGATATAAATCCTGCATAACCCATAGTAGGGAATACACCCTAATTCCCATAGTTTGGGGTCCTTACGGTAATGCAGGATTTATATCATCCACCGTAGGGCCCTGCAGGACGGTGAAACTTGTCAGTTTTCTAGAGAAACAGGGCGTCTACCATGGTTTTTGTGGTGTTGGGATTGATGGTCTCAGGCTGATGGCGTGGAAGATCTTATGGGTTTTCGCAAGACTTTGCGCAATTCGTCATCCTTGTCCTTGCGGTTCCCCGATGTAGCTATGGTAGAAATAAGACAAAAACCCTCGTCTAATCATTCAGAAATTCAACCCTAAACCCTAAAACCTAAACCCTAAACGCTCAATTACCAGTCCCAGGGTCCATTGTGGAAGATGACAAGGCTGAGAAGTATTTGCGTCAAAAGCCTCGACATGCCCAGAAGATGCAGGCTTTGGGTTTAGGGTTTAGGGTTTAGGGTTTAGTTAAACTTGTGGGGGCTCGGTGGTTAGGGGACCTTACTCCAACACTCTTGACATTCAGGGCTCTCTTCTTAGTGTACCTCAGTTTTCTGCAGAACCCACACAGGTACACTTGGCTGTTTCAGTTCGAACTCATGGGCTTCCATGACAGGGAAGAAGTGCTGTCGGGAACCAGGGTGCAGGATTCAAGTCTGGAAGTCGGGTGCTGGGCTTTCTTCACGTAGGGTTTAGGGTTTAGGGTTTACGGCTTACGGTACCCCTCTCTTGTTAACTGTGTACTTGAGACAGGGGTAATCTGTTGCTTTCCCCTGATGTTCTACGGCGGATGTGCTTGTTTGCATGAGTTGCCGGCAGGATCGCGCTGTACAGAAATGCGACAATGCCCCATACTTCGCAAAGCAAAATCGAGAGAGAATGCCAAAGCGGTTCCGTGCTGCAGGTGCTGTTGTGACAGCTACGCTAGAGCTTTGTCATCCCCAGAGCCTCAAGAAAGTCTGAGTCCCCATTTAGCTCTGGCTTTCTCAGAGCGTTTCGTCTATGGCATGTGTCTGGCATTCTACACAAGGCATTGAAGGAGGACACGGCATGGGACAAAAAAACGCACGATGTGGCAATGAGTAGAGGCGAGTCTTCAACAAAACCAAGACTAGCGTAATCATAGCAACAGTCAGCAGTCACTATGAAACATCAGTAGCAGGCACTAGCGAGGGCATAGACGAAAATACACTAAGCTTTCAATCACTAAGACCAAAATGCTAAACCCTAAGCCGGCCACGTCGGCCTTGATATGACCGGCACATAAGTGAGCAAGATCTGGAACTGAAGTCCCCCAAAGAGCTAGAGCAAAAGGCGGGCAGCGGCGGACATTTTAGGGTTTAGGGTTCAGGGTTCGGAGATTCTGTGGCCTTGTAAGGATACTCGGAAGTACTGTTGTGATCATGCGAATTTTAGTTGTAAATACCATTATTGTGCCTAGCACTATTATCTTTATTGCCCTTCTTATGATGCCTATTATTATCATGATCATCACTACGTTTATCACTAACGATATCACTGCTACCATAGCGAGAACCCATGCAGAGAAAGCAGGTGGCGGCCACGACTCTTTCAGAACTGCCAAGAGTGTATTGGCTCACCCTGCTGCGAAGATGGTAGATGGGTTGCCGCAACTCATGCTTCAAGATTTTGCCTGGCTTTGAGAAGGCTGCATATAGTCCGGCTAGATGGTGTCTTGCATCCTAGCTCCATCGAGCCTTCCGAATAGTACAGCCAAATCTCTTCCACCTTTAGATCCGGACATGCAGACCGTGAGCTCTGGATGCACATGGGGGTTTCCGAAAATAGGGGACCCTAATATAGTGCCCCAAATAATAGGACCCTTATTATAAGGACCCCCAAATAAGGTACCCCCTGTTTTAGGAAACCCTCACATCTTGACCTGAAACCCTCAACATTATGTGGAATCCTGCGCAGGAAAATTTAGACAGAGCTTTTCTCGCATGCAGCGCCTGATCCTCACGAGACTCGCCTGACTCATAGCAATACAAGCGCACCTGACATGCTGGAACCAACATGTGGCAAATGAATGCGAAGAACGCCTGCTTTATGGCATTCGATGCCGAGCTCGCAACTTCTATGTGGGTGGTTGTCAAAATTATAGTCCCTTTTTGGGTCCTTACTATAATACGGCACCTATTATTTAGGGTACCCCAAAACGGACCATAATTTTGACAGCTACCCATGTCGCAGTGGTATCCTTCAAAGTCGATGCCAAGCACGGCCTCGGAGGGGACTGAACAAGCCGTGTATGGTTTAGGGTTTAGGGTCCTCTGAAGTGCTTAGAGGCAAAACCCAGCAGCACACATGCACAAACATGCAGTCACACGTCACAGTATGCACAGGTGTGCTTAGCAAGGGGTCTGTGGCCAGAACAATAATGAAAGGCCAAGAGGTGTGAGTCATCATGCGACTCCCTTGAGTGCACGTTCATCCTCCCCCTTGTCAGAACCTTCATTGAAGGAGCTTCACTCACACACACACACACACACACACACACACACACACACACACACGTGTGCCGTGCGCCACATGGCTTGAGCCAATACGTTTCCAGCCGGCAGGGAGCTCCCGAACATGGGTGAACGCCTCGCTGCTACCTCTGCCATCAAATGTGAGATGCATGCTCTTGTCCTCAACTGTCGAAGGAGCACATCTGTTTGCTAAGGTGAGCAACAGATTGCGAAGGGCAAATCATCAGTGAGGCAACCTCATGCACTTGAGCATGATCAGAAACAAACCAGCCTACAAGGATGCGAGAACAGTGATTTATCTTTTTGGTCTTCGGCCAGAACATGTGGGTCTCAAGGCACCAGGCCACAAGCCACAAATATCGCAGCAGGCATGATGATCTACTTCTGACTCCCATTGGAGTGGAGCTGATTGCAATTGTCTGCAGCCTTACCTGACCACTGACGCGGACGATGACATCACTCAGCTGCCTAAAAGTTTGGCACAATGTCACAAGGCGCATTGAGCACATCAACAATCAGGTCCCACTCGCCCTCAGCTAGCAACCCACAGACTCCAAAACCCCTTATTTAAGGAATATACCTTAAATCATATGAGGGATCCTATTATAATTTAAGCTATATTCCTTAATTCAGGGGTTTTGGAGTCTCTGGGAACAAATGTGGCAGCAACCAGTTGCTGCTCAATGCCCGACTTGTCGACCGCTATCTCTGCCAGGATGCAGCACTTCAACGTACCACTACTGGTGATGGACAAAGTCCTGCATTCTCCGTAAAGAATACAACTCCCTGTAGCTTAGGATACTTGAGGTGTTGCAGGATTTTGTCAGACATCAACTGCATCATCCTTTTGGGGGGGATTTTGCCAGCCTTTAACATGCACGATGCAATGCATCAGCGGGTCCTGGCTACACTTCCCCAGCCCGTGCATCTCATGTCTGCAGGCTTGCCAGCTAGAGATGCACACGTTCCGCACGCACAGCGGGCTCATGGCCAATGTTGTGATGGTGGCCCGGAGGCCGCACAAAAAAGCCCACGATCAAGCGTTCCAAAATCCACATTTGCCACCGATTGGCCCTCACACGACATCCAAGCAAACAAGCTGCACATGACATGCTACAACCAGCCCACGCCACGAAGTCAGGCTCCACACGATATGCTTGCTAAATTATGACGCATGCACAACAATTAGCGCGAGGCAGCTGGCCAGGCACCATCGGCGAGTCACTACTGTATGCACAACGTCTGCTGCAAAACGGCTTCCGCATCTTCGCTTTGCAGGAGTTTCGCCTTGACTGTGGTCGATCATGGATGCTGCAGAGGACCCAGTGACCTGGGTCTTCACAAGTCACAAGTCCACCAGCTGAAAGAACTCCCTCAACACACTCGCAAGTCACGCACGCGCACACGGCGCGATTGGCAAGGGGTCTGTGGCCAACGTAGCAAGGATCAGGAGGCCAAGATTTGTAAGTCATCACGCGGCTGTCTTCGGTTCATGTAACATGTACTTCAAAATCACGCTTCACAGCAAACATGTTCACGTCGCTTTGGCCACGCCATCCACGACGTCTCGGTACACAAAGTCAGCAGCATGGCCAAAGTGACGCAGCAGGGCTGTTGAACTACTGGCTCCCGGGGGAGCTGAGTCAAGTGAAGTTCGCCTTTGGCTTACATCGTTCAGGATTCGTTATGCTTGTGGCCCGGAGGCCCCCCCGACGTCCACGACCATGCTCCAGCATCCGCTTTTGCTTCCACGTGGTCCTAGGAGACAAACAGCAGCTGACTTGCGGAAGCCAACCCCAGTGCACTGTGCATTGCTGAGCCCTGGCACTACAATGCTGAATCAGCATCGACATGAAACTGCTAGGCAGCGTGCCAAGCCCATCGGAGATTCTGAGACTCACCACTCCTGCACAGCATTGCCACTGAGCAAACTGCATCCTAAACTCGAGAAGCCTACCGACTATGGACCCCGAGAAGTGCCCAAGAGAGGCAAGTCAAGCGTTTGTGTTGACCCCGTGGCATGCCAAACGTGCTGCCCAGGCACTTCGCATTGTCCGATAGCTCCCACTCCGGCCTTCCAAATCCACACAGGATGTCCCAATAATTTCCAAACTCTCTCTCAAGCAAGTGCTCTTCCATTAGATGTGTCAAGATGTCCACAAGGGGTTTTAGGGATTTTGGAGTTTTTGGGTCTAGAATCGAGAGTTGCTGCAGCATTTCTAGATGCCGTATATTTCGGGGCACACGAAGTCCCTGAAAAGTTCACTGCCACAAGTATAGAACCCCTAACTCCTAAACCCCTTTAGGGTTTAGGGTTTCAGGTT